CCTCTAAAATTTGCAACTTTACCGTTAGATGCGATATGCAAACTTCCTTTCTCAAAGTTCTCGAAATGCTCGACGAGAATTCTTAATACCTGCGCTTAGTATCAAGTTTATATCGCTCGACATATTTAAGACTTTAAATGTTTCGAAAAGTATACATCAACTCGAATTATGCACAGGATCGATTTTCCACAGGATCCGATAATTTGTTTCAAGCGTTCTCCTCTCTCGCATTTTCATGAATCATTTATTCAATTTTTACTACGTTGCATGACTTTTTTATGCTTGTATACCTTGCTTTATTGCATCTCAGCAAAGCTATTTATCTACAGCACGTCTCAGAAACTTCCTTAGAAATTTTAGTTTCCGCGTGACTGTTTCTAAAAGATTAATTTCTTAGAGGATTTCCCGCTCGCGTTGGTGATTGAATTCTTAATTTTATGTTGCAAAAAGCGATAATTTTTTTATTGAAATGTCGATGAGAGAAAATGCATCTATCATAAAAAAATAATGCATGTATAGAAGATATTCCTTACGTGTTTTACAAGATTTTCTCGAAACAATCGCGTATAATAGATTCTCGATCGCATCAAAGAGTTCAGCTCTACTTTCTCAACTTAATAGTCTCAGAATCAGCAAAAAGAAAGTAGTCCGGAATTCTTAATTTTTTCTTCCGTTTTCAAGCTTGACGAGAACGAGTGGACTTTCGGAGTAATTAGGGAAGACACGCAAATGGACCGTAAAGCAATTCGCACGCTGCGAATTGAATCGGCACTAGAGAAAATCTAGTTTCACTTTTGTATCGTCGTGTCCTTCTTCGCATATGTCTCGCGAATTTTACTTTATAATGAATTTTCTAGGAAAATTATCAGATTGGCTTACAATCGTCGGCGTAATTAATTGGGTTTCGCGAGGATATCACGTATTTGGGGTGTGACGCGATTTATACTCGCGAATAACGCTACAGTTTGAAAGTGCGCGTTTCACTTCGTTTGATACTTTGAGGATTAAAAATATGCGGAACTGATTTACAAGTTACTCGCACGAGATTCCGTTTCCTGGTATTTTCATATATTTCAACCGGCAAACATGTTTAAGGAATAATACCTGCATTGCATTCGTTCTTAAAGCTACTCGATCACGGAATTATGTAATTTATTGTGTAACATGTAATTCCAATGAACAGGATGGCGATCTTTTCGTCAAATTTCCGCGACATTGTGCACAATATAATTCCATTATTATGTAACTTTAAATTATTTTGCGAGTGTTTTATACACATGATAGATGATACGATTAAACGATTTTATCAACATTATCGTACTTGTAATATTGCTTTATATTCCGTAGAATTTTACATAAATTTATAACAGAATAATGTTCCTTTTCCTTACTCCACGTACATTATCATCTCACAATCAGTAAAATGAAACATTGCCAGAGGAGCATTTTTTTTCATGTTCGTAGTAAGATGTTTTTATAAAGAGATCGTGCCAACAACATGTTTACGTCTAAATTAAATTATGATGCAACGATATTTTCTCGAAGCACGTACGCGTTCAAACGTGACCATCAACAATGAGATCGAGGTGTCACGTAAAGATTGTTGCAGGATCTTGCCAGGTTTCTAGCAGATCTCCCGGACTTTCGCTTCGAAGTCGTCGTACGTGAGTTTTGGCCGAAATGGCAACTCGCGAAAAAAAAGGGAGCGTTGTAAAGTTGTAAGTGATCCGCGTTGAAAAGAGAGACACGCGTCTCTCAAACGTATTCATTTTCTTCCGCGATTCGTCGCGCACAAACACCAGCAGCTCTTCCTGTGCCGCATCGCAGCCGGTAGGCAGCTAGGTAGGTATATAAGTGAACGACCTTAATGCAACGGTATTCGTGTGTGCGTGATTTTCAAAGCACGTACGACAACGGTGCGTTACGACGCACGTAAGGTCGCCGCACGTCGAAACTGCTCCGGTTACGTCGCCCGGATCCGCTCGCCGTGACAGTTTCGCGCAGATTTATGCATTTGTACTGATATAAATAGAATAATCATTATATTATGCGGAGTGAAAACATTGCAAGAATTTATAAAGATTTATTTCTATTCGCTACATTCAAACTAAAACTGACGCAAGAAAATGAGATATTTACTTTTACAATAACACAATTTAGATTTCTATTATGATAAATAAAGATAGATTGATTTAGATGATTTATACGATAGATTTAAATATTAAAAGCGACGATATCTTGATTAGAAAATGGATTAATAATAAATGTGAAGTGGTTCTCAGCGATGCTTTATTAAAATGTTTAACACAAGACTTGATTATTAAAATATATGATTTAGCAATATTATTGCATCTAAGAAACACCTCTCGTTAATTTCGTTAATTTTTAAAATATCCTATTTTTCTTTTAATGTTATTTGAAAGTGGAAAGATACACTTATTATGATTAACTTAATTTTGATGAATGGCAACTTTCAAGGATTATCATTTGAATACATCTACGTGAGCGAGAGATAACAGTATTTATAGTTGCCAAGTAAACCGGTACAAGTATGAGGATGAAAGTTCATAAATTTCCTATGATTATATATTATTAATTAGCCCGGCGCGTTTACTCAAACTTGTGCACTCCCGCGGATTTTTATTGTCGTTTAGATTGCTGCTTTTTAAAAGTGACAATCGGCGCGCCGCATTCTTATGAAACCGCTCGTATTTCTAGCAAACATAAACGGGAGATCGAAATTCTAGCTGGGAACCTGTTACGGATGATCCTACCAGAAATATGTCGGGATTCTCGAGAGGCGCATTCCAAAAGAATGGGGGGAGAGGAGAAAGGGAAAAGGGACAGTAGAATCGCGCGATATGAAAAAGAGGGAATTTCATAAAACTCTCGATATGTATATCTAAATTCTTTAAAAAAAATTAATCAAATATTATTTACTTATAATATAATAATATAATAATGTGTTATTAACGTTGCAATAATCTTCTGCGTGATTAATTACTAAGTGTAAATATGATGATGCGAGAATAAAATAAAATAGAGGAACTCGTTAGCATCTTCTGCGAAATTATCGAAGCAATTACAAGAACGGGAACTGTAGCGATAGCAAGAATGTTAATGACGAGTATAAGAATTATAATTACAATTGGCAGAGAAAGAGAGAGAGAGAGAGAGAGAGAGAGAGAGAGAGAGAGGAAAAGCGTTTTCACGTTAAAGTAGGATAGGGAAATCGTCAAGGAAAAAGTTAGAGATTAACGCGAGTCTTTAAACTGGTATTAAAACTAGCTTGAAAATAAATCAAGCAAGACAAAAATTCTCAAGAGAGTCACGGAGCGAAGGCGAGAGTGAAATGAGAGTGGATGAGAACACGAGATGGAGAAGGGATCCGGATGAGTGGAAGAAGGAGCGGAGATGAAGGAGATACGCCGGCACGCATTCCGATCGTTCAAAGGAGTCCTTTCGATTGGAATGGACCCGAATGCCCTTTGCTGATCTCTCGGAGGGCCGTATTGTTCGCATCGGAACGCTCGCGAGGGGCCGGAGAGGAGGCGGCGTGGAGGCGGAGGAGGACGGGGGGGGTGTCGAGGGAGATGCGTTGTCGGGACCCCAGCGGGATACCTAACTTAACCGTAGAGCAAACGGTCAAAACGCAATCAAAACGGAGTCCACTCACCTCGTCGCTGGTTCGTGCCGCGACACCTCTCCCGATATTCACCGTCGCGACGATCGTCTGTGTGAAAGACCCCCAGAGAGCACAAATATGATAACACAATATGATAACACTGTACGGAAATATATACCGCACGTTGCACACGTCAAATTACCCGGGTGCGCTGACACGCCGCATTTTGTCCTGCGCTCGTTTGAAAAGTAATCCTCGGCGCTGGCGTAACTCGGATTCTTCACAGTCCCCCTTGAGCGCGTCGTTTCGCGCTCTCCCGCACTTTGTCTGAGATTACCGTTCAGGATTATATGTCGTAGACACGTCGTGTCACACGTGCCGTTTGCCGCGAGCAAGACGCGAAAAATGCGGGACCGCGAGAATTGCGCGCTTTATTCCGAAGCGGCAGGTAAGTGTGACAAACACCGACCGATGTGACGTGTTTGCCGTTTGACCTGCCTGCAAACTGACCAATCGCTACGCAGGTGGTATCCTGCTGGTCCCCGCTGGTGGCAGGTTTAGGGACAGGGAAGGGGACCTGAGTCTCTGCTGCGCGACCTGCTGGGACTTGGTGCAAGGCGCCTCGTAGATCAGGCCCCCCAGGTTTTGCTGTTGAGTCTATAGTCGATTGATGTTGATTGGTCGTTGGTAACGCGAGCCATGAACGACGGATGGTTGACTGTTCAACGTCTTAAAGTATCATCGTGGTATGTCTGTAGGTTCATAGACAGAATATTCGCAGCAGAGACTCTTAACCAGGTTTCCTTCGTTACCAGCTATCGATAGTTTTCTCGATTTGAGTAATTTATTACATTAATTACATCATAGTGATGTATACATAAACCATTTATTAGACTCGCATTAAAGACGAGAGAAAACGATTTTTCATTTTTCTAATCGAGAATTTTCAAAACTATATATACATTGATTCAATTATCTTTTAATCAAATGAAATTTTGATGCGTCATCAATATTGAAATATTATTTTGACAAACAGGGAGAATAGAGTCTAAATATATTATTACAATTCTTACAAACAATTATTACAATTTTCAATGATATATTAAAAAAAAAATATTTCTCGTTGTACAAGTGTAATAGTATTTATACATATTAATGCATTAATTACATTTAATAATATTTATTATTAAATTACACATCGTGATAGGATTAAAAAAGTACAACGTTTATAGAGATCTTTGTTGGTGTTGAAGTTTGACATCGTTTAACACGTCGATGTGGGGAAAATATTATGAGGCGGACCTCGTGCACACGGTACTTCAAGGCTGACCGGCATAGGTACTTATTGTATCAAGTCTCGTTAACGGAGATGTTCATTCACTCTCATCTGCCAGATGACCAGTATGGCTCGCATAACTCACTGTTCCGCTAGTATTGCTCGGCGTAAAAGCGACCGGAAAGAAGCCGCGAATTTTCCGACATGTGCCTAAAGTATCGATCTTACATCATGGAAACGCAATCAGTGTGCCAGCTCGATTGATGACGATGGCGGCGTTGGTTCGTCTCAAACGCGGTAGCGTCCAGCTGAGACACGCGGCACTCGAGGTCAGAGGTACGTGTGCTCCCAATCGACTTCCTTCGGCAATATTTTCCGGAATTCTCGGTGTATTATTTACGATTTAATTCATCAATAATTGAAATAATTCATAATATGAAATAATTCATCAATAATGAAGTAATCAGGAAATAATTCATCAATATCTCGCGACATATAGTTAAACAGAATGATTTATTAATTATTCAAAATAGGTACTGTGTAAAATTATGGTATGATGTATTTTAGCCTTAAAATTGATTAATTATAATCAATCTATCTGTATTAAATGAAATAGACTTGTATCACAGTGTTGAGATAATTATTTTTCTGTTTTACACTATTCAAAGAATTAATAACGCGATCATTGTGTTATCGAAAAATATTAGCTATTTGCGTTATACCGTCGAGCCAAAGTCGAGGTCACCTGAAATATATTGGAGTAGTGGAGAGATAGTGCGCGAAGAATCAAACATTGGGAGTGATAAGAGCGAGATGTCGTTGTTGGTCTCATTATTTTTGAGTTCTGTGAGATGGCAGACTTCGTCAAAAGAGGTAGCGTGCAGTTCGTTAAACATGGCAGTTGTCAATTAAAGCTCGCTGCGCAAGAAGTTCGAGGTTCGTTAATAAAATTAATTTTAATTAATTTTATTTCTCATCACGTGAGATTTAATTTTATCTCGTGCGGTCAAACCTTAAATAATCTCGCGATGCAAATAGACCTCTAGAGATACAATATATAGATTTAATTTATTTTAATCTAAAAATTGTAATTATGTATATACATGTATATGTTATATATACATGTTATTTGCATCATATTAATGTACACAATTTTAATATCAATATTATCATTCATTGACATTAAAAATCAGTCGAGAAGTGCTTTTTCAGTTTAGAACTGATACATAGATATGATTGTATCAGCCGTTTGAGTAAGTTATCAAAATCAAACAGTGCTCGAATATTTAGAGACTACGATAATGGATGTACATACATATGCATATGAACATTTCTTCTGCCATTATCTCACGAATTTGTCGAGAATACGATTCTATAAAAATTATCAATTTCAATTTGATATAATTTGTAAGCTATCGTTATTCAATATTATTTTATTTGATAATTTTTGTCAAGAAAAAATTCAACAGTAAAAGGATTATTGGAATTTTTTAATTACATTCAAAATTTTAATTTTTATTAATTTTATTAATTTTTATTAATTTGAGGTGATAAAATATTTCTGTCTTACGATGTTTATTAACACAATGCGATCATAATTAATTAAGTTCAAAAATGTTCTAAAAATGCTCAAAATGTTTTAATAATGAATTTTAATAGCAATTTGACGTGTTGAAGAGTTACTTGTTACTGGCGATTTTATCAAATTAATTGCGATTATTATATAATTATATTATTATTCGTTAGCGGCTGTACGAGCGCGACACATCGTCGCCGCGTTGGTCGCAGTTGGATTTGCACTTTGCGGTGCGGTCGAAGTCAGTTCCTCCGTCGCATTACTAGCGAATCAAAAAGACAATCATGCCATCATTGATACGTCTTGGCACTGTGACATGCTGGTCAATATCACCAGCCGCAATCGCACCGAGGACTTTGAGATTATATTTATGGAGGTATATTTTCTCAAGCTTCATATTTGAAGATGCATTCCTTTAATAGTAAATTTAACATACATTTTTTCAATTTTTTTATTTCCCTAATAAATTTTTATCAATCTAAATTAAGCGAGATTAATTCTAAATGTGATTTTGCTTCGTTTCACATTTGTTTTAATCATTAAATCTTTAAGCAATTTCAAGGGGGAAATGTGTGAAAGATAGAAGCGCGTTTAATAAAACGACAGGAAGATGATTTATAATTCATTTTATGAATGACAGCTGCCGCAGGAGGAGCGAGCGGAATCGAACATGCGCGAGGCGTTTTTATGGGGACAGGTCGCCGGTCCGATTCTCGGAGGGTGCTTGGTATGGGGTCGATCCGGGCCCTCTATGGTGTTCTCACGAGCGGTTCTCAGTGCCTGTGTAGCGTCTCTGTTAGTACCCGCTGCCTGGCGCGGACCATCGCACGTTGCACTTCGTTTATTTCAAGGATTATGCACCGTAAGTCGGCGCGGAGATTCTATTGACGTCATCTTTTTAGATGCTTTTAGATGCAACGAGAGTTACGTGAGATTTCGCATCATAAAACACAGCGCACACGCGAACGTGAGACGCGGGAAAATTATTGCGAAATTATCATGATCATCTTTTGCAGGGCGCGACTATGCCCGCTGCTCACATGCTGGCTATGACGTGGTTCAAGAGTAATCACAGAAGCTGGTACTTCAGTTGTTACGCAGGTATGCTTGTGGTTGCGAATAACGCGGCGGTTTTTTCAATGAGAAATAAAGAGCGGGACGAGTGTAATAAGCTCTCCGATTTTTTATTCAAGTATTGTTTTGTAAGAAGGACATTTGGGAAGACACACCACGACCTTTTCAGGATATTTTCGAAAACTTTCCACCGCACGCTAAACGTGATTAATTGACTAATCTTGATTCCCGTCCTCCTTAAGCTGTTAGCGTAGGTTATTGCCTCACCGGATGGTTGGGCACCGCGGTGGTGCGAATGTTTGGCCGCGATTCTTTGTGTTACGGTCTGGTTCTTCTGGCACTGTGCTGGTATTTCGCCTTTGGTCGATTCGTCAAGGATACACCAAAGTCCTATCAACACGATACAAACGTAAGCCTCATTTCCGGGCAGTTTAGCGAGCTCGTCACGAATATGAATATTTATATAATATTTAGATTTGTATAATAAATTATAGCATGTCCGGCATAAATGAATTATACATAAAAGATTGCTGAGATAGAGAATGTATAAACCTTATACGGATTCTAAATTTTCTATCTGTTAATTAGCATCTGCGACACATTTATTTTACGTATATACTGATAATCACACACTCAGGCGGCTGTGATACCATGGGGGAAGCTACTGAGATCTGTACCCGTCTGGGCATCCGCAGTAGCGACTATGGGCAATCAATGGGGCGACGCGACGCTCGCTCTTGGCATGACGAAATACTTGAAGCTCATATATGGCTTCTCTACAGCTAACGTAAGTTGGCTAGAATTGTATGATCATTATCTTAACACTTTTTGATCGATGAAGAAACGAAGCTATAAAAATATGAAAGAATAAAAGGCGGAAAAAGAGGAGATACAAATTTTGTTATTATTACGTAATTATATATCGGATACAAGTCGGAGGTTGAATTTCATTCCCGATCGATATTGCGGAACAGCTGCAAGCGCAATAACGAGTCTCGCCTGGTTGCTAACAATAAATTGTGATCCAATTCAGGACTCGGTGCTGACCACGTTACCTCACATCGGTCATTTCATGGCTGCGCTGACCTGCGGTCTTCTGGTGGATCACGTTCGCGAGTCTAAAATAGTATCCACGACCACGGCGAGAAAGTTGGTCGTCTACACAGGTGCATTGCATACGTGAATCTTTGTGAACGGCATTATATCTGAGAGAAGCGCGTATAAGAAATGTCAAGTTAATTTATGTCAAGTTAATTTATATTCTAAACTTATTTCCTTCTTCGTTCTTAACTAGATTTTTGAATGAAAGCATTCATATCTAAATTTAGTGTCAAATTACAATGAGAAGAGATCGTGTCTTTTCTCTTTTCTCTTTCCGGCCTTAATATTTTCAATATTTAATATTAAATGTGACCAGCGCACTTCATCCCCGCGGCACTTCTGTTCGTCGCCGGTTACGCCGGATGTCAGGCCCTGGGCGCCGCCTGGCTGGGAATAGCGGCCCTTCTCGTTTCCGGTACCGCGCCGGCCGGTGCACTCGCGGCTATAGCCGATCTTGCACCTGCGGAATCGCCGGCGTGTGCCGCGGCCGCGTGCGCTCTCTGCTCCACGTTGGGCGCCGCGGGACTACTGGCTGCCAATTACTTCGTTACCCAGGCTCTTCATGGCTCCGTAAGTCGTATTATTACACCGGACATGACACTGCCCGTATAAATGTAACGCGCTAAATTTCGTGATAGTAGGAAGTTGATTGCGTAAGAAAATTGAGCGGTTCTTGTATTTTTTTAAATCTTGATCGTCTTGTTCCTTTCTTTCTTTCTTCGTTAAATATTTAAGGATGCTTTGTATGTACAATCCTAACAAAAAGTAGCTGAAATCGATATTGACGATATATCCATTTTTGGTGTATTTTGAGTAAGAAATTTTGTGGAATATTACAATTTGATTTTAACTACAGTGCAGAGATGTATTTTTTAATATTTATTGCGTTTTTACTGAAATATTCCGAATTTTGTTAATCGAAATGATTAACTTTGGCAGAGAATTTCGCCTTGTGACAGATACATGGCTAACTTTATTGAATTATATTTAATATCTTTTTAACCAGTTAGTATTTGTATAATATTATTTGATCAAATATTTCCTCTGTATCGAAACTTTTGCAAATTTTAAACAAATACTGAATTATTTCCATGTGTTTTTGTCATTTGAATCTACGTGGTTATACGTTTCCCATAAGAACACATGTTAATTCGGTGCAAATTAAAATCCTTATAACTTGTAAACGTTTTAGTGACTCGATTTGAAAATTGTACTGAAGATTCTAAACATATGTAAGGACATTCTGTACAATTTTCATTAAATTCTCAATATTTTGAAAATAGGTACAAAAAATTCTTAATAATTTATTGTTTTCAAATATAAAAAATGATTAGTATAATTCTGAAATGAAAAGGAGTCTGGATTTATCTAAATCTTAAAGACTTTTTTCAACTCTATTGCGTAAATTTTTGTAAATGCATAATGTACAATTTCTATATCCCTCAAGTGACAATTGCAGCTGCGAGACCGCGTTGCAATATTGAGGAAATTCAGATTTTTAATTTCGTCAATCGCGATCATTTCAACTTGCTTTTGCAATCTGTCGCCTTATTTAGGTTTGACGTAAATGACGCTAATTGCGAAGAGAACGGCGTCGCCTGTTTCAGATCGCTGGCTCTTGGCGATTGGTGTTCGGTGTCGCATCCGTCGTTCTGTTAACGACCGCTGCGGTTTTTCTCGCGCTCGGCAAAGGCGTTCCGCAACCGTGGATCCCATCGGTGGCGAGACCGCGGAGTCACGATGTAATTTACGAGCAGGACGCCCTCGAGCTCGATCACGAAGACGTGGGCGTGCAGACCGAGCCTTTCGGGCCCTACGCGTTGGACGATGACATCGAGAGTCTGAAGAACGTGCCTCGCTCCGCGTCTATTCATTCCAAGATCTCGGTGACCTCTAATTGAATGGCCACCGCCAGCGTACAAATTCTCCGTGCCATTTTTTACATGTCCCTTACGTCAAGGATAATCGCCCTATCGCTTCGTATGTTTTTTTTATCACGATAGAGAAAACTATACAATAATTGTATACGCGTGATTAACGCGATGAATGTATATAATATGTTAAAAGTAAGAATTATATATTTATATGATGTAAAAGAAATTGTCCTTGAAGAATATTATTAAAAAAGAGATCTACAAAATCTGAATTTTATCAATTTCAAATCTATAAGTGCATCTATACTTCTGACATATAATAATCTTTTTATTACACGTATCGCTAATTTAACGAAACATTGCTTTAAGAGCATTGACTCTGTTCCGGAGATAGAATTATTGCGAAACAATATCATGAATAATAATGAACAGATTCGCCGATTCGAATAGAAAGTTATTATTAGAACACCACGGTGGGCTGGAAATTCGACGAGAGCGCAAGTAAGTGTTGTTTTTGTCTGAGATTACTCGCTTTCGACTATTGTTGTAGCAGCCTCGCTTCATCAGAATGCATTGCCGCGATTTTCTCCAGTTATTTCCTAACTCTCGTTGCATACAAATGTATGCATTACGTTCTGTTCTGCGAGACAATGTGTGCCCTCTACGGCTTTCTATCTCTGGAGAAAGAGAAAAACCGACGGACGCTCTAATTAGATAGTTTTGCTGCCTTGGCTTGTCCTTATCACCGTCTGATTCTATCGCGAAACTGCACCTACGCCACTGTATTTAGCATGCACGGAATACCGGAAGACGTGTACAAGATCGCTGTACAAGATGGTCGTTTCAACGACCGTCTAACGACAATGTTGGCCTTTCACATGCACGCGTGCGTATCCGGTGCGCGCGGAAAAATCGGAACGCTATTTAAGTAATCGCGGAAAATGACCTACCATTCACCGTGAATTCAGATCCATATAATACATTCTTCGTTATTTTACTACTTGTACGTGAAACCCGTTCTCGAGCGCAGAATGTAAATACGTATAATATTGGCTTCATGATTATTTACACGTTTGGTTTTATTTATTAATATCTAGAAGGTGCATACATATTTTGATGTTTTTAAGCGAAAGAAGCTTTAGAATAAACTTGATAATTACCGAATAATTACTTTGATTCATTTTTCGACAAATTAATAAATCACGCGCTATTAAGGATGTTTCGTATGTACAATCCCAGAAAAAAGTAGCTGAAAATCAATATTGACGAATATCCACTTTTGGTGTATTTTGAGTATGAGAAATTGTGCGGAATATTACAATTTGATTTTAACTACAGTGCAGAGATGTATTTTTTAATATTTATTGCGTTTTTACTGAAATATTCCGAATTTTGTTAATCAAAATGATTAACTTTTGGCAGAGAATTTCGCCTTGTGACAGATACATGGCTAACTTTATTGAATTATATTTAATATCTTTTTAATCAGTTAGTATTTGTATAATATTATTTGATCAAATATTTCCTCTGTATCGAAATTTGTGCTATTTTAAACAAATACTGAATTATTTCCATGTGTTTTTGTCATTTGAATCGACGTGATTATACATTTTTCATAAGAACACATGTTAATTCGATGCAAATTAAAATCCTTATAACTTGTGAACGCTTTACTGAATCGATTTAAAAATTGTGCCGAAGATTCTAAACATATGTAAGGACATTCTGTACAATTTTCATTAAATTCTCAATATTTTGAAAATAGATACATAACATTCTTAATAAAATTCATCCGTTTAATATTTTCTCTCGTCATTCTTATTTCGACGTCTTCTTCCGTATCGCACGACAAATCGAACATAAGCTGAGTTGATGATCGTTTCGCTCCGCGGCTTTCGAGATATTCCTGTCATATGTGTACGTTATACACGTAACGCTTTTGCGAGCGAAATATTTGCCCGCGGATAATGCTCCGCGCGCGAGATCTCATGATCCCCGCCCACACTGCGTATATTCGCGCACGACTGTGCAACTTTGTTGTTGTGCAGATCCGACCAGGGCAAGAGTAATGTCGCAATCCGCGACGCTAATTACCATCAGTAGACGCGTTACTATTCTTTCCCGGTTAACGCCGACTCTCAGGGACTTATGAAATGAGTTCTCACACAACTCCTCGTCTACCGTCTCTCTGACTCTTTCTTTATTTCGCGATGCGTATATATCACACTAGTCTCTCTTACGTAACGTCGTATTTACAGTAAGTAGTGAGTACTACAGGTGTCTTAGGAGCTAGAGCTTTCGCAGATGCTGTTCTGCGTTTTAGCCGTGAGATTTTTTTTTTAATTAATTAGCTTAGGTATAGAGACGCATCAGCGATTTACCGGTCGATATGTTTTGTAATTAATCAATGTAAACATATAATGTCAACAAACTCATTTTGCAATGTTTACAATATCTTTATGTCGTTATTAAATTACAGCCGGAGGTAGTAATATCCATTCACCAATTTCATCATTCCATTGTTCTTTCTCTTTTATTAAATAATATAAATTTGATGCAAATTAGCAGCGTGCGAAATTTTGCAATAAAATTATGCGATAAGCTAAAAGAAAGAAAAATATACGAGGGAATGATATATATATATATATATATATATATATATATATATATATATGTGAGAAAAAAATTTAATCATCTAACAATATTTCTTAATCGAATATATGCTGATGCGTCTATTTCAGTAGATATAAATGCGACGATAAACATGCGATATCGTGCAGAAAATCGGATCGCGCGGCGACGATTTCCCTTTCGTGAAACCGATCCGATTCATTAACGACACAAATGTACCTGTTGCATGTGCGATATTGAGCCTTACATGCGGATGGATATATCCGTTCGTTTCCTACAATCAAGAAAAATTCTACCGTTAAACTGCTTCGTCATGCTTAAATATGCTACCGTGAGAATTCACGATACCTTTCCAGGATATTTAGTAATATCTAGCAAGAACAAGTAGAATTTAAAGATTATTGAAAGAGGACATATTTGCTCATTGACCTTGATTAAGTGTGTCTCGTTTTACAAAAAAACTTGTAATGAAGTTGGTTAAAATTCTACAATAATTTACCTCGTATTTTATTTCTACTTGCAACGATAATCTTTGTGGACGGAATTTTTAACTATTTCTACATTACTCGTCATCGTTACATCTTCTTCCTCGAGTCCTTCGCCTCCTCCTCGTCATCCGTAATGATCTGTACGCTTCTGACCGGGCCCGTTTTTCTATAAGATGGTGTTGTGGTGGTCATAATTGTTGTCGGCATCATTGTCGATCGTTCGGCGTTGATCGCCAGATTCACCATTCTTAGCAGCAAGGCCTCTCTGATGGCTGCCGGGAGAACCTCATCGCCGTCTTCGGCTATATCCTGCGCGTAGAATTTCTGCCTGTATACTCTCTTAGAGTATCTGCCGTCGTGATAATCGTCAAATTGTTGATAGGTCGGATTCAGAGCACGAGGGTAGAGCGGACGTCTGAGAGGTATGCGTTCACCATATTGCGCTTGCTGATCGTACGCCAGTTCGGGTCTCGGAAGTGGCGCCTGGTAGCCTGCCGGATATGATGGATACGGTTGCTGATCGTATAAGGCATCCTCCAAGTAACTCTTTGGATAGGACAGAGCTTGCACGCCGTATTGGCTCACTAGCAGTCTCCTCAGCAACGTCTGGAAGTCTTCGCTCGAGGAGGTCGGGACGGATTCGGCGGTTCCGGTGGCAGCGCCAGCGCGCCAGGTCTATAAGGATATTCGGGTGTGGTCGCCTGATAATCTCTGTCGTCGGGATGAACCATCGGACCTGGAATCGGCCGTAAAAGCGCGGGTTGTCTTCGCTCAGCTTCCGAATAGATCAGCGGTCTCATCACGGGACGCGCGCGCGCATAATTCGCGTTCATCGCGATTCGTGCCTGATCCTCATGATCAGGCAGGGGGTTCTCCGTCAGATAGTGAACGTTGGCGTCCGTCGTGGTCGAGTAGACAGGCTGTTGATTGGGAGGCGGTCGGAACAAGATTCTGCCGATCGGTATCGCTCTGTAGACATCGTCGTCCTCGAGATTGCCTTGTTGAGACTGTACGAGTAATCTGGGCGGCAACTCCCGCAGATATTGCTCGGGCTGTTGTCTCACAAAGAGAGGTTCCGCGTTCTGTCTGACATATTCCCGGTTCTCCACGGGTACTCGAGCGGTGGAACTTCGAAGCAGGATCTGCGGCGTCGACGTGCGCTCCTCCTGATTGGGTTTCGTCTCCGTTTCGTAGATTTGAGGCTCTTCGTATTTCGGGTTGTCGAACCGACCACCCGACCTCAGATTCTCCCTGTTGACGTAGATCTTTGGCCGCTCTGTGCGCGAGGGACTGGAAACTCTCTGGATGATCCGCGGTGGAGCGGACGTGGTGAACAGAGGTCGCGTTGTAGACAAAGAACCGCTGTAAACGTCGGAATGATCGTCATTATTATCTGCAGTATCAGAATTCGACTTGGTGGTCTCGTCGTTTAATTGTCTTCTCAGACTGTTCCCCGTTGTAATCTTGGCTTCGTCTTCCTTCTCCACAAAGTCCTCGGATATCGGTGGCAGGCTGTGCTCAATCGGTCGCTTAGTCAAGAAGATTCTTCTGTAGACGCCGTTTTTGTCATCTGTACTAGGTTTATTGATCTGCGAGTCTTCGTCGTCGGTGCTCTCCTCTAACACGATCGGTCTCTGCTGGCCGTTGATGATAAAACGCGGCCTGTTCTTCGACGTACCTTTCAAATAATGTCCAAGTATCGTTTTTGGTGCCTCTGTAGTGGTGCTGGTCGTGGTAGTTGTGGAACTGGTAGTTGTTTTCCTCGTTCGAGGAATCGACTGTACAACCGAAGACTTGGTCGACCCTTCCGTCGTCGTCGTAGCGTACACGATGCTCGGCTTCTTCGTAGTTAATGTACGATTGACGCGCGGTATGCTCTGCACGACTGACACATGTTCCTGCAATGGCGACATGGTGGTTGCTTTAAAGCCCGTCCCGTTCGACGAGGAATACGAGACTCTCTTTATCTCGCCGTCGGCGTCGATGAAGCCGAACGTGCCTTTAACGTTGCCCAAAACGTCGCGACTCTCAACCTGACAAAGTAAGTATTTGCCGTTCAGATTTTCGCGAAAGTAGCGTAATTTTAAGTTCTGCACC